GACAGTCTTAAATTAAGTAAAGCGCTTAAGTATCTGTCGCTGTAGCGCAGCAGATGCAGCATGATATTTGCGGAGATGCGCATCAAGACTTACAACCACTGTACAGTGCTGCTTGCAAATAATAACACTAAAGCCTTTAAGAAAGCAGAAAATGTGTGGTATTTGCGCCTCCTAGGCAACAGTGCCTGGTGCAGGTGGCATTAGCGTACGTAGCTGTACATCAAGCTTCAATAACACAACCTTAGGGTCATGCAGGGCTAGCCCAGCGCCTCAAAACCCTGCGTGAACATTCTCTGGTGTAAACGTCCTCTCAAAAGCTACTTTAAAGGCTGGTAGGAAGGTTTCTTTGTTGATATGGTAGATGCGGCTGCGTGCTGCTGCTGCTGCTGCTGTCGCTGCTGTTGCTGTTCAAGAGCTCCCACAGCCTGGTGGCAGCCAGCTTCTGCTTGCCGTGCCAGGGGAAGAGGCGGCCAATGGCTCCCAGCGTGCTCACCTCCCCCTCTGCCTCAGCTGCCTCGGCCGCCACCGTACGGAGGCAGTAGCAGATGAGCCGGGCCCACAGCTTAGCTGCCCGGTGCTGGCTGCTTGGGTTCTGCATGCAGCTGAAGGGCCGCACGTTGATCTCCTGGGCCTGGGCGCTGCGCAGCCAGCGTAGCGTCTCCAGGGAGAGGGTGCTGAGCCCCTGTACGGCGTCCTCCACCAGCTCCTCCACCAGCTGCACGGCGCGCTGCAGCTGTGGCTCCTCCTTGCCCGGCATCCGGATCGCGTACGCGAGCAGGCGCCAGCTAGGGTAGGCCTGCAGGTGCTCGTCCCACTGCGTGCGCTTGAACCAGCCCGTACGGTCCTTCGCGGAGGCCTCCTCAGCCATGTGCTCCATAGCCTTGCTCTCCTCCCGCTCCAGGGCCTGCCACTCGTGCGAGAGGCGGGCTAGCGTCTGCTTGCAGCCATCCTCCTCTTCTGCTGCTCCCTGCTCGTCCTCCTCCCGCCCTGGCTCCTTGTTCCCCTGCTCTTTCTCCTGCTCCTGTCCCTGCTCCTGTCCCTGCTCCTGTCCCTGCTCCTGTCCCTGCTCCTGTCCCTGCTCCCCCCGTACGATGAAGTAGCGAACATAGCGCTGCTCGGCAAAGAAGGTCTGCACCTGAACAGGCTTCCAGAGCTGGCCAGCGTGCGCTTCGTACGAGGCTGCAGAAGGGGTAGACCAGCGAGAGAGCTGGGTGCTGCGCTGCTGGTTAGTGTGCTTCTTAATCCAGGTGTAGCTGGTGGTGATCAAGCTACAGCTTGTACGGTTGCTGCTGCTGCTGCTAGTGGTGGTAGGGGTAGTGGTGGTGGTGTCGGGATGGTTGTCATCAGCACCCTGCTGCGCTGCTTGGCAGCAGAGGAAGGCGCTCTGTTGCAACTGTGAGGCGCTGTATGGTTTGTGCGCAGATGGCCCTGCGCAGATGGCCCTGGGCCTGGCGGGTTTTCGTGAGCCGAGGGCTAGCTAGCCAATCAGGGTTGCAGGGTTTGATCGCGCGCAGATGGCCCCGCGCAGATGGCCCTGGGCCTGGCGGGTTTTCGTGAGCCGAGGGCTAGCTAGCCAATCAGGATGCAGGGTTCGCGCACAGATGCCCCCTCCGGGGCCATACGCGCAGCTGTTCATACGGAGAGGGATTCTAGTCTCTAGTCTACAAGTCTAACAGTCTTTCCTACTCTTCCTCCCTGTAGCGTGCATTCAATTGGGAGTCTATTAACCCACTACAACCCGTAGGCCGCAGTGCAAGATGAGATGCAATCTCTCTTGGTGGCATGATTAGAACAACATGTGCGATGTGCTTGAGATCCTTCGCGTGCTAAGCTTCCCGGAATCGCTGAGACCCGCCAAATTGCCGATGCCGACAGGTCAAGAACCACCGAGGTGATCATCCGTTTGTCTAGACTAGACCAAGTTGCTGCGGCGATACGGTCCTTGCTCGCTACTGGTGGGAGGCCTTGGTGCTGTCTTGTCTCTACCACCTCCGTAGCGCGCGGAGAGGGGTTTTGCTCACAGAGAAATCGCTATATTGCACCTAGCATAGTATTGTAGTAATGTTGACAGAGTGTTGGTTAACAAGCTAACGCAGTGTTTGTACGCTCTTCAACATTAATATGGCGATTTCCCTGTGTTGTAGAAACCCCTCTGCGCTGTATGGTTTCCTATTCAGTCACTTGAATGATCATAGGGGCACGAAGCGTAGACAGACCCTGGTACAAACAGGGATAGGATCAAAATGGAACAAGCTGAGGTCGCGAAGATTGAGGGATAACGCGGTATCGTGTCGAAATCCGTGGAAAATAGTGCGCTCCCCTTCTCAAGGAAGAGTGAGGCCTTAACAATACCAGTAGCGTTTTGCTAAAGGAGGGTGGAGCGCGCGGATTTCGATACCTCTTTTACACAAATAGGAAAGAATAGTGTGAAGTCCCCGCGATATGGAAGACTGGTAGCTGGAAATGAGTTACCATGTTAATCGTAGTTTACAATATAACGAGCCTAGCAGTCGATATCCACAGCTTGTGGCCTGGGTGCATTTGGCTGTATGCACAAGCAACTGCCAATAAACGGCGAAAGACTAGCAGTACTTGGCACGCCGAAAAACTAGGTAGCGAGATACGAGGCCGAAAATGAACGCATCGTGGTAAAAACAGATGCATCGAATTCTGCTTTGGATCTTCATTCATCCCATGAACCGTGCTTTGGGGAACGGGGATCCTGCGGCTAGCGCCATGGCGTGTTCTTGGCCATGTCTACTAAATGAAATACCGCTATCTCTGTCGAGTCCGTGACTCCGTCTTCTCTCCAGACACCATCGAAAGCGCTACAAGCAACCATGACAGCGGATACTGAACGAGACGCATTCGGCCGACTTCCCGAGGAGCTTCGGGTTAAAATTATCAAACTCTCACCAGACCCTTTGTCGCTGCGGTGCTTGGCCCATGCGTCGCCCGCTATGGGCAGAGTGCTCGACAGATATCCGCTTGAAATCGTGGAGGTCATCCTAGAGGTTACCGTTCCCGTGGAGATCCGTCGCCTGATTCACGCGGTTCTCAAATTACAGTTTTCGCGCTTTCCAGCATCCTTGTCTGAGGCTCAAAGGGTGGCGAAAATTGACTCAACTGCGGCCACCAGCGAAATGCGTTCGTCCAGACTAGACCGAGCCGCCTCAGCGGTACAGTCCTTACTCACGACCGCTGCGAACGTCCATAACTGGTCTCATGCCTGCCTCGAACATTTGATACGGAAATCAATGCAACTAAGGCCATCCACGCTCATCAAAAATGGGGCTGGCAGTACACGCTGGGAGGAATTCGAAAACGCTGAAAGTCGAAAGGACTATCTTCCACAGGATACCGGCCCGCCTTCGTGGGTAGAGGAGCAGCGGATGATCAAATCATTCTGGCAACTGCAGTTCTTCCTGGAACTCCAGGGCGCCGGTCACAAGGGCCACCTGGGCACCAATTGGCCGAGACAGGAAGTTGACGTGTTGTCCCAGAGCAGCGCGGATGGCTTTTACGACGTGTTAAACTATCAGCAGGAGCAGATCTTGACCGCCTGCGATTTTCTCGGCGCAGTCACCTCTGGGACCATTAATTTGGTGGAAGCTGTTCACGACAACGCTTCTAATTTGCCAACAATACGTTGGGTTGAAGGGGCAGTGTTGAGGTGTTCCTGTGCTGAGCCGCTCTCATTCGAGCGCAACAAGGACACCTTCAATCAGGGTCCAGAAAACCTCGACCGAACGCCATGGGCGTACCACTTTCATCATGCTATGTCCTCAAGCGATAGATGGCTTGATGGGTCTCCGCTTACGCTTGTGTACCCCTTTCAGACCTGGCGCAAATATGGGTTTGCTATATGGGATGACAAGCGCATGGTTGATCTAGGCATGCGGCACCCGAGAAAAGCGTCAGTTATTAGTAACTCTATACCCTACTCTTTTCGATGGTGGAGCATCTTAACGGAGGAAGACATGCGTTAGGACTTGTGTGCCATTCATAGTTGAGCTGTTTTTCCGCCGGGATCAAGGTCCCGTGCGATCGGCCCAAGATTAAGATAGGCAATAGAAAGAGATGATTAACCGAGAGAGAGAGGGAGAGAGAGAGACGGCCTGACGTAGGGCTACCCAATAGCATAGCTAGGATATTATGTTCTGGCAGTTCTGCCGCGATTTGCTGCCTTTGCAGGGTTGATCTGTTAGTTAAGGCGCTACTTTAGGCCGTCTCTCTTGCGAGTTTACACGGTACCTGCGTCGTCGAGACTCCGCAGAAGGATTCAATCCATCATCAGCATAGTAGGCCCGAACAAATACGAATGCTGGCCTAGTACCTACACCCTAGTGCATGTGCTCATCCAACGGCTGTCCTTTGCCTAAACTTAGATCAACATAAGGTTACATCGCTCATTCTGCCATCTCCTTCGGGACTGTCTGGACATGCCACACCTGCATCGTTGACTGTTGGCGAGAGCTAGCGAAGGAATGGCTACAGTAGAGCCTGTCTAGATTCAAGCAACCTTAGAAGTTAAGCCGGGCCCACGGTCAGGACACACGGAAACATGGATTCCTTGGCACTCAACGAAAACTGAGGAGCTGACATGGCCCGGAGAGGGTTCTGTACCCATGTGAACGCTTAACACATACGCTTTCCAGGACAATAGATCATGTGTTACTGGACCAAGTAGCTCATAAGCTCGTCTCGACAACCACGCATGTCTAGGTAGTATATATCCCTAGACAGAGGCTTCTGCCCATGCCTGAGTCTTTCTTCACTCGCTGTTCATTTCGTTTCTTCAGCTGTTCGTCATGATTTCCGTCGGCATTTTCAATGGCGCCGGGCCAACTGGCGCCAGAAGACGTCTTCCTCGATACCGTCTCTTCGCTCTTATTGTGGGTATCTGCCTTGCTGTGATCACTGGCTCCCACTTCTCCCACGTTTCGCATAGTCAACAGCCATCCGACGTGCAAAAACGAAGCCTTTTCGACGAGTCACTTAGACTCAACAACTCGCTTGTCTCGCTGCCGCAGGGGCTTTTTTCTCGTGCAGCCAACGAAGCACTATGGGCCAGGAAGGTTGCAAGTGGAAGAGGGTGAGTCAAAGTACTTCTCATTGTCATGTACGAGCGAAAGCGAGCTATTGAATCAACTTGCTTTGAATCTATACAGGCTAGTCTAAGCCATACAGCTATTTGCTGATACTAAGGGCAGGTAACCTACCGGGTTTCTTTGCTAACATTCATGTAGTAAGCGGTTCGAAACAGAGATTCTATCCATCCCATCTGCTGACGACGAGAACGGCCATCTGGTGCATGATGAACAGTAATGACGTGGTAGCCAGGACCGTGACACTGGAGACACTCTTGTCGGCTGGGTGGGAAGAAGATGACGAACAAGATGAAGCGATACCGGCAGACTACCGCAAGTCACTAGGGAGGGCCGATGGTCTGTTGAACACGGCTAACGAGGTCTCTCAAGGCTGGGATCATGTGAACATATGGACGGGCGATGATGGCAGGGAAAGAAACGTACGTGGTCACAGTCGTGCTAGCGCAACCATTCACTTTACTGACCTGCATTGCTTGGCTCTATAGCCTACCACAGCTACAATGGGCAACATTGTTAACGGCGATGATGGTTACATAATTGCTGGTGGCAATTTTGGGCCCGCGGAAACCACGAAAGACTTGGAAGATCCTCTGCCAAAATGGATGTGGCCCACTACAAAATGGACCGACATCATGGCAGTATCATGGGGCCAGTACGCGGCCGGCAAAGACCTCAAGCGCGTATACCGATCCGCTGTTGTCATGCCCGAGACGAAAGCCCTTATGGAATCGGCCCTGTTGAAGGTCAACAAGCTGCCGGGCGGTGACCTGGATGACTTGCCGCAGTGGCCTGGCGTTGATATCGTGCCGGGAAGAACCCCCACTAAGATGCCAATGACGCCTGCAGTCGAGGCCTTCATGGGCTTGCTTGGGAGCTCTCATGGCGCTGGTCCTGCGTACTTGGTCATTCAATACTGGGCCATCTTTGGCAAGAAGAGGATTAACAAGATCAAGATTTGGCGATCTGAGAACAAGCCGGTGGCGAACATGCTGCTCTACATGGAGAGCCTTTGATAGGCAATATTGACGAGTTCGTCAAATGCGTATTGCTACTACCGTTGAGTATAAATGAAAATATAGTACAGTAGACAGTTACGTAATATTAAAGTAGTTAGAAGTATAACGTGGTCCACCACCGAGCGAATCACCCCACCGAGCGAATCACTCTGCCAAGACCACAACGCTTTCTACTATTAATTACAATGGCTCAACAACCTAATCTTGAATTACTTTCCTGTGCAGATAGAGTTATACTTGCTACCTAAGCAATAAAATCTAACGCGTCACTAAGCCAGCGACGCACTGCTGCTATCTACAGGGTTCCTCAAAGTACACTTAGCCATCAAGGCGCTGGAAGAACCCCACGACGCGATACCCACCCTAACTCATCTAAGCTTCAGAAGCATGAAGAGGAGGCAGTTATACAATACATAAGGAAGCTTGACGCTAGAGGCTTTGCCCCTACGCTTAGCCACGTACGTGGAATGGCTGACCAGCTACTAGCTAAGCGTAGTAGTGGCCAGGTTGGGGAGAACTGGGCCTATAGGCTGATCCAACGCCGGCCTGAGGTCAAATCTCAGGTGACTCAACTCCGTGATCACCAGCGAGTCCTCTGCAGTAATCCAGCTATTATCAGCCCCTGGTTCAACCTTGTACGCAACGTTAAAGCTAAGTATAGTATCCTAGATTAAGACACGTACAACTTTGATAAGACTGGCTTCTAGATAGGCGTTAGGGGGTCTGTGAAGGTAGTCACAGCCTCTAAGAGGCGCCTTAAGCCACTTGGGGTTCAGCCTAGTAACAGGGAGTGGGTGACGTTGATTGCCGCCATTAACGCCACAGGGTAGGTTATCCCACCCTTCATCATCTTCAAAGCTAAGAACCACAACTAGGCCTAGTATTATAACCCTCAGGATTAGAGAATAGGGGTTAGCAATAATAGATAGACAACAAATAAGCTTAGGCTTGCCTAGCTACAGCACTTTATTAAGCACACAGAGGTTAAGAAAGTAGGTAGTTACAGACTACTAATTCTTAATAGCTACAAGAGCCACAAGTTACTTGCCTTCTAGGATCTTTGTAAGGAGAACAATATCATTACCCTCTATATGCCCCCTTACACCTCACACATCCTTCAGCCACTTAATATAGGTTGCTTTGCCCCCCTAAAGCGTGCGTACAAGGAGGAGATCTAAGTCTTGGCAAACTGCTATATTAACTACATTAACAAGAAAGCCTTCCTAGCTGCACTTACCCTAGTATTTAACTAGGCCTTCTTAAAGGACAATATCCTATCAAGCTTTAGAGCAACTAGCTTAGTTCTAGATAACCTAGAGGTGGTGCTATTAAGGCTTGAAGTAAAGCCTTGTACACTAACACTACCTTTACCTAGGAGTACCCCTTAGCAGCCTAAAACACTAAGCAACGCCTAGGAAATAGAGGCTTAAACAACACTAATTCTTAAGAGGATAAGGGACTATAGGAGTTCCTTACCTAAGTCTATTCTTAAGATAGTGCTGTAGGTTAAAAAGGGGTTAACTTTAAAGGTACACTCACACACGTTGCTTAAAGCTAGGATAGATAGTCTTGAGCAAGCAAATCAGGCTGCTTCTAAGCGTAAAAAGCGTAAGAAGAAGCAAATACAGAAGGGGGGGACCCTATCACAGGCAGAGGTAGAGGTAATAGTTACCCAGGGGGATGCTGAGGTTCGACTTAAGGCAGAGAGGCGTGAGGAGAGGGTGCAGGCAGGTGCTAGCAGCAGGGGTATTCCGCGCTGCAGGAGGTGTGGCAACACAGGACACAACAAGCGTACATGCAAGAAGGATACAGTAGAGATAGGCAATTAATTTAAGCTATTGCGCACTATTAACGTACTCCACAAGCGAGTGGCTCACACAAGCGAGTGGCTCACTTTTGCCAAGACTACACCAACACTACAACTACTTTACAACATTACAGCACACAACAACAATATCATGTACTACACAGTATATTGCACTAATCTACAGTACTTTGCGCATCTTTCTTACACGTTGTCCTGTTGTGCCCTGCCTTGCCACACATGCTACAGTGTCTTAATAACTAAGTGCTGCTATTAGCGCCTCCTCTCTTCTTTGCCTTCTTCCCATTACTACAGGCCTCAAACTCCTTTAGAGTAGTTAGCTACACTCCCTTAGCAAAGGTTAATACCCTATCTTGCTGTAATTGCTTTCTTTTGTGTGATTTACAGCGTATAGCAGCCTTGTTGGCTACCTAAAGGTCAGCAACCTAGTTGCGCACCAAAACTAGTGAATGCGCCATCAGCTCTGCGCCTTTAGTGAGCTAATTAAGGGCGTCAACTATTAATATTAGTAAGCTATTAGCGTGTCTCTAGATCCTCTCTTAAATTAGCTTTAATTAAGACCTAAATTCTAGGGTGTTGCTTGGTGTCTTAGACTCCTACGTGCTGTTGTCTACAATAGGTGGCGTTAGCGTGCGTAGCTGTACTTTAAGCTTTAATATCACAGCCTCTAGGTTAAATAGGACCAGGCCAGCGCCTCTAAATCCTCCCTAGATGTTACTCTTAGTAATTGAAGCATTAAAAGCAGCTTTAAAGCACAGCAAGAACTTAAGTTTGGTGATGCGAGTGATCTTGCTCCGCATCAGCTGCTCAGCTTGGCGGCCATAGGCCTTCTTTAATAGGGAGAAACAACCCACGTCAAGCGGCTGTAGCAGATGGGATAAGTGTGGGGGCATACATAGAGTGATAATCTTGTGCTCCTCACAGTACTGGTGGAATTCGACTAAGTTGTGGCTCTCGTGGCCGTCCAGAACAAGCAGTTAGTAGCTGCCAACAGTGCGCGCCTTTGTGTGCTTATTAAAGTGCTTTAACTACTTAACTCTAAGCTTATTATTAGTCTAGCTGTTATTAGAGACACTAATAACCTAGTTATTAGGTATACTAGGCTCCTTGTACCAGGCTGAGAGGTGGTGCTTGCTAGAGAGGATAATGAAGGGTGGGATAGACCAGCCCTTTGCGCAGATGCCTTGGATAATGCTAGTCTACTCTTGGTCGCCCTGCTGCACTGTCTTTGGTCTCCCTCAACGCTCAGAGCCTGTGACAACAGCACTAGTGGATATAACACCTATCATAAAGCTAGATTTATTAAAGTTGTGGGTGTCTTTATCTAGGATACTATACTTAGCTTTAGTATTCTCTATAAGCTAGAACTAGTCACTAATAACCTTAGGATCCTTACACAGCGCTCTCTTGTAGTTATACTTACAATTAAACTTAACTTTAAGCTCTAGCTAATGTTTAACAAAGTTAGCAGCCTAGTTCTTGCTAACAGGGGTCTAGTGGCGCTTAGCAAGCAGAGAATTGGCCATACCCTCCACATCAGTGAGTTGGGGTGAGAATCCTCGCTCATCTAGCCTCAACACGTGCTGGACAATTACCTCCTCTTCAGTGCTAGTCATCTTAATTATGTTAGGCTTGCAATCGCGTTATAGAGAGGTTCTAGCAAGTCAGTGACTAAGTGTCCTTTAAGACATGTTGTAGATGGCTGCAGCGCGTCGCTGAGAGAGTGTCGCGTCTTAATAGATAGCCTGAAGAGCAAGCTGTATTCCTGCTTCCTCTAAGGGTTTGATTGTGTTGTTACGTTGAGGCATTGTAGGTAGAGTGAAGTTTGGTGTGGTCTTGGCAAAAGTGAGCCACTCGCTTGTGTGAGCCACTCGCTTGTGGAGTACGTTATATCTTATTGTTGTGTTGAGTTATTCACGTTCAAAGATATATTGTTGCATTTAGTGATTCGCTCGGTGGGGTGATTCGCTCGGTGGTGGACCACGTTAACCTGTTTTATCAGTGAGCGCCCCACCTCAGTGAGCGCCCCACGAACACCAGCGAGGCGTACGCGCAGCGACGTAGCTTAGCACCACAACACAAATTTTGTACTCTTACAACAGTATAGTATTATTTAGAAGCGTTACTATTATTTGTATCCTTAATGTCTACCTTGTAGGTGCAAGAGTTGTGCCTAATCTTACTACAACAGCTGCAGCGTTGCCCTGCGCGCACCTAGGCTGGCGGAATGGGTATACTCCAACGTCCTTCGTGGGTACCCCCCAAAACTTTGTCAATAATACATGGATTCTAGCGAAATAGGGCTTAAAAGAAAGAGAAAAACTACCTCTACATTTCTGTAGTAGAGGGTTTTGTTATAACTATTAAACTGCACAAGCTAGAGGCTAGAAAAGGTCAAAAAAGGGGGGGTACCTAGCAAGCATACCCATTAATAGGTAACGTAGATTATCACCGAGCCGGCCATATCACCGAACCGGCCATTTTCTCTTAGCACGACTAACACAAGTTACTACAACTACAACTACTTGCTATTAAACAGTGACCTAGCATACTGCGTGCTTATATTAGATTTAGAAGATGTTTCTACACCCTCCTAGCACGTTCGTGCGTTGTGTCCAGTCTTGCTGCAGTTCCCACAGCGCCAAACAGTTGACTGAGCTCCTAGTTAACCACCTCTACCCTAAGTCTTCTTAGATGGCTAAGCTGCTACACACGCCTCAGCAGCTACCCACAATGCTGCTAGGCCATACTCAAGTGTGCCACTATGCTGAATCTGCTTTCTCTTACGCGATTTTCTCTTAGTTATTACTACTAATTGCTCTTCAAGCTCTCGCACGCAGGCCTTAATAAGGACGTTTTTATGCAGCATCTCTTTAGCCCCTTTTACAAGCTTTAAGAACCCCTCTTGCGCTATACTTAGTAATTGTTAGAAGGAGTTACTTATAAGCTTAGATTAAGACCTAAACTTGTGTGTATTGCTTAGTGTCTTAGATTACTACAGTGTTTTAGGTAGAGGTACTGCTAGTAGGGTATGCAGTTGCACTTTAAGGTAATCTAACACTACCTATATATTAGTAGGAATAAGCCCTAATACCTTAAAGGCCTTTTAGTAGTTAACCTTTGTAAACATATTAAGGAACATATCCCTAAAGGCTAGTAGGAAGCCTTCCTTATTAATATAGAAGACATGTTAGCATGCTAAGTCTTAAATATATTAGGAGTACTTATGCTTTAATAGCAAGAAATAGACTATATTAAGTAGCTAGAGGATGTGTAACAAGTAAGGTAGTATATAGAGAGTAAGGATTTAGTTCTCTAGGTAATAGTCCTTAAACTCCTAGTTAAGATAGCTCTTATAGCTGTCTAAGATAAGCAACCTATACACTCCTACCTAATATATCTTTGTATGTGTATTAAAGTGCTTTAACTACTTAAGGCTAAGCATGTTATTTGTCTAACTATTCTTAGAGACTAAGAGCTTCTAATTGTAGGGTATATCTGTCTCCTTATACTAGGCAGAGATGTGGACGCGTCCTTTGTAGATAATGAAAGGTGGGGTTGCATACCTAGCGGCGCAGATGCTCTAGATAACGGTAACCCACTCGCAATCACCTGGCTGAACAAGCTCTGGCCGAGCACGTCTCTCTAAGCCTGTTACAACCTTTAAAGACAAAGCAACGCCTATCTAGAACCTAGTTTTATTAAAGTTGTGCATGTTGTTGTTACAAACACTATACTTAACTTAAGTATCCTCTACTAGCTTAAACTATGCGCTAATTATCTTAGGATCTTCCTATAGTATCCTCTGTCTATCCTTAGCTTAATTAAAGGCTATTTTAAGCTTGTCTGAACACGTCACAAGCCTGCTAGCCTATAGTTTACTAATAGGCTCTTCACTACGCACACTAAGTATCTTATTAGCTATATCTGCCACCTTACATAGCTAGGGCGCAAATCCTCACAAATTAAGGTTAAGTATATACTAGATAATTGTCTGCTCCTCTAGTATAGTAAGTTTCTAGTAATTAGCGCGTATGTCTAGTTAAAACGTGATATTATAAAGGTAATTAGAGACCTACTAATAAGGTACATTTAACGCTCTAGCAGCGCTATAGATACTGCGAAATTAGCTAGCATAGAAGGCCTAGATAGCAAGGATAACTCTGCCTTCTCTAGTAGTATTCTGAAGTTGTTGTTGTTAAGGCATGTTGTGTTAGGGTAAAAGGTGGTCGTGCTAAGAGAAAGTGGCTGGTTTGGTGATATGGCCAGCTCGGTGATAATCTACGTTATACTTTGCTAGGTAGTGTTGATAACTCAGCTAATACTAGGCGGAATAAGCTAATTCTTTTTTTTATTAGAAGGCGCAATACTAGGCGCTTCTATCAAATAATAGATTATGTAAGCGTATCTCTGCTAGTTAAGAAGCTATAACGTACTCTATCACCGAGCTGGTCATATCACCAAACCAGTCACTTAAAATCCCACCAAAAAACACAGAAACTATACCCCTACATCTTAATAACTACTTAATAGAATCTTCTAAAAACTTTAGAATAGAGCTGCATCTATACTAATAAGACTGTTTAAAAGTCTTAGAGTGCTTAGCCCTATATTGCAGATGTTGTTTAGAAGATACTGAAATACAGGGGTAGCTACAGGCTATCTCAACATCTATACTAGCTATTAGTCTAAGACTTTTAAATAGTTTTATTAGTATAGATATAGCTCTATTCTGAAGTTTTTAGAAGATTCTATTAAGTAGTTATTGAGATGCAGGGGTATGGTTTCTGTGTTTTTTGGTAGGATTTTAAGTGACTGGTTTGGTGATATGACTGGCTCGGTGATAGAGTACGTTAAGCCAAAACGTAAAAAAGCATACCCTACCCATCCGCCAGCCTACGCGCACCCTCTTCGCTAGCTCCTTACCCTCCTTATATCTGCTACCCTCCCTTTTAGTAATTAAGTCTAATACCTCACTAACTATTAATGTCTCCTCTGCCTGTACATAGCATCTCTTACAACTTTTATACTTTGTTGCTACTTTAGTAACGTACCGTGCACGGACACCGGGTGGGCCGGGTCACCAGGTGGGCCACCCCACCAACTTTACCACCTCACCAACAGTGAGGCTACAACACCACGTAGAGTAGATATTATTATATAAGAAGTTGATGAAATATACTATCTGCTACTGCGAGACTTTTGGCGTATTCAGTTTTTTTGTGGGCTTTGTGACGCGGCCACCACGAGTCCTGAAGCCCAGGGGTGCTGAGCTGGGCTCATGAGACTCCTGTGAACTGCCCTTTGCTGCACCACCACCACGCTTTGTTGATTTTGACCGTGGCTTTGCTGAGGCCTTGGGATTAGTCTGTTTAGGCAATTGGGATACTTTTTCTGCGTTCTTGAGTGTTTTGACGCGCTCTCTTTCAGCTGCGCGTTCGGCGATCCCCTGAGCCTTCTCCGCCCTCTTTTAAGCTGCCTTCTCACGCCTCAACGCTGCCTTTTCTTGCCTCTTAACCTTATCCTTCTCTTTCAGGATCTTGTTGTTGTGCTGTACTTGCTTCCAATCAGCCTTTGCAGCGTCATCTGCGATTGCCTGCTTCTCTATATCCTTCATACGGGTCTTGGCACGTGCAACAGATGAAGGATCCCAGAATATGGCCCCCCCTTGTACATTAGGGTCCTGCGGTGACAGTAGCAATACTTTCTTCTTCTTTTAACGCTTCTTCTTACTCTCCAGTGCTGTTTTGAGGCCCTGAAGTTCCTGGTCTTTGAGCTCAAGAGCCACGTGCATCTAGTGCATCTGCTGCCTTGCCTCACTCTGCGCCCCTGGGTCCCTATACGTCACTGCACAGTCAAAAGATGACCTAAAACGTCGCTAATTAGGTGAGGTAGATACCGCCCAAGGCTCTGATTGCTGGGGAGGCGTTATAGGTGGTGGTAGAGTTACCTTCTTAAAGCAATCAAGTATGACGTCTGGGTGAAGTAGGTATATACCTGTGACTTTAAAGGCTTAGAGTATTAACAATTTAGTAAAGGTGTTAACCCAGGCAGGCTAGAAGAGGCTTATGAAGTCTGCCTTACCTGTAGGGAGCCATCCCTTGGTGTTGTGGTTATAATATATAAGCTTATTTAAGTAAGATTGGCTCAGGGGCTTAAAGCATAAGACATCTAGGGGTTGCAGCGTATAGGTGGCGTGCGGGGGGTAAACCAGCACCAGAATTTGATAGAGATCACAGTAATTGATGAAGGCCTTCGTCACGTGGCTGCCGTGGCCGTCAAGAATAAGTAATCTAAACTTTCTCTGAGCTTTTTTTGAGGTAACAGGATTAAACACCTGCTGCAGCCAGGCAACACCAAGATCGTCGTTCGTCCAGCCACTTGGGGATACTGAGAATCGTAGATCGTGAGATAGATTACGGCAGGGGGGAGGTGAGATCTGTCGGCACAAATCGCGCCTATAACCGTCACCCACTCCCTGTTACCATCGTGAGATGCTTGCTTATATCGACGCTCCTTGTGGAGAGCCTTATCAAAGACTCTTTTAGTCTTTCTAATAACCCTAATCATAAATCCCTTCTTGTCTATATTATAGGTGTTCTTAGGGAGAACGTTAAATTCCTTAACTTTTTTAGTTAAAAGATTAAAGTATAGATAATATCTTTTACAGTTATCAGCTGCATAACGCGTGCTTTCTATAGGGGTGGTCTAGGCAGTAGTGAGGTTATTAGGGTGATAGTAAATAAGCCTAGAAACCTACTAATCTAAGGGCTCCTAACTGCACAAGGGGGTTGCAAAATTAATTATTATCTACTGCGTAGGTGGGCAGTAAGTCTCTGTGAAGCTTTTAATGTATTTTACAAGCTCAGCCTTATCATGTAGGTAGAGGAGATGTTAATCTTTGTGGGCATCTTTATTAGTCCTTCTCTAACATTGGTGGTGGTTAGTTAAAGTAGTGCAGGAAATATAGTATTTCTTGGCTAACTGTCTATACAAAAAAGATTCTCCTAGTTTTAAAGAGTCTATATATAAAAGAGCAGCCTGCAAAGACATCATGGTGACGTTGTGGAGGGGGGGTCAAATGTGGTGTCAAAGTTGGTGGGGTGGCCCACCTGGTGACCCGGCCCACCCGGTGTCCGTGCACGGTACTCCACGGGCGAGTCGCCCACACAGGCGAGTCGCCCACTTTTGCCAAGCCCCCACCAAACCACCCTTCCTACACTAATGCCTCCTCAACACCACCATTTAGACGCGTTAAAGGAAGCTTAGATACAGCTTGCGCTCTAGGCTCTTAAACAAGACGCGACTCTCTCTCAGCAACGCGCTGCAGCTATCTACAGGGTTCCTTAAAAGACACTAAGCAACTAATACACAGGACAACCTTCACGCGCTAATTCTATAGCCAACTTGCAGAAGCTAGACAACAATAAGGAGAAGGTGATTATTAAACATGTCCTTAAGCTAGACTTGTGAGGATTTTCCCCTTAGCTCTTAGATGTGGCTACTATGGCCAATTCTTTGCGCGCTGAGCGCAATCTGGGCCCTATTGGCACAAACTAGCCTAGTATGTTTGTTAAGCAACACCTAGAGCTTAAAGTCAAGTTCAATCGCAAGTACAACTACAAGAGAGCTCTCTGTGAGGATCCTAAGGTTCTGTAGGGCTAGTTTAGCCTAGTAGCTAACATTAAAGCTAAGTATAGCATCTAGGATAAAGACATGTACAACTTTAACAAGATAGGCTTTATAATAGGCTAGATCTCCCTAGGAGCAGTTGTTACAGCTTTAGAACAACAAGGTTAGCCAAAGGCTGTCCAACTAGGCAACTAGGAGTAGGCTACAGCTATAGTGAGCATTAATGCTAAAGGATAGGCCATCCTAGCCTTCCTTATCTTTAAGGCCTACCACTACCTCTCTACCTAGTATAAAGAAGAGGATCTACCTTAAGACTAGGTTATTAGAGTCTCTAATAATAGCTAGACTACTAACAAGCTTAGTCTAGACTAGATAAAGCACTTTAACAGGCATACAAAGGAGTGTACTGTTAGCACCTACTATTTGCTTATTATTAATGGTTATGAGAGCCACAACTGTAACGACTATGCACGAACACGACACGTGGCATAGCGCTCATAGCAGCTAGAGGCAAAGCTAGCTGGCTAGCACTATTATTGTCTATATATATTATACTACGCAACGAATACTTGCTTAAGTATTCTTGTGCTTACCTTTTGGTATAGGCAGAGAAGTCACGTAGTATTGATTTCGAGGGCAGGGCGCCTACTCTGTTACAACAACTCTCTTAAATTCTAGCAATACTGCAAGGATAGTAAGATTATTGCGCTCTATTTACCTGCTTACTTATTACACCTTACACAGCCCCTTAATGTAGGTTGTTTTGCCGCTTTAAAGAAGGCGTATAGGTGCTAAGCTAAAATACTTATGTGCAACTAGATTAACTATATTACAAAGACTAAGTTCCTGCCATGCTTTATACGCGCCTACAACGCTGCGATTACTCCTAGCAACATCTAGGGAGGGTTCTAAGGCACTAGACTAGTCCTGTTTAACCTAGAACAGGTTATAAGCAGCCTTAATGTGAAGCTGCGCACTCTATCACCACCACTACCTATTAACAACGTGCTCTAGCAGTTGCAAACCCTAAGCAACACCCTTAAACTTAGGTTGCAATTAACGCTTGTAAAGACAAGGATTTAGAGGTATATAGATAGCTTACCTACCTCTATAGTTAAAGCATTTAAGAAGGTATTAAAGGGGGGCAGCAATAATTGCGCACAGACTAGTGTTAGCGTAACAGGAGATTGCTGAGCTTCAAGCAGCAAATAAGGCAGCTACACAATAAAAATTACACAAAAGAAAGCAAGTTAAGGCAGAAGGGACCCTAATAGTTAAGGAGTAGCAGTAATTAGCAGCTCTAACAGAGTTTAGGGCGCGTAGTAATAGTAAGAAGGTAAAGAAGCAGGTGCGCGCTAATAGGGCTGAGCTAACCTAAAGGCGCTGTGGACAGTGTAGTAAGACTAGACATAACGCGCGAATATGCAAGAATAATATAGAAGTAGTCTCTAAGTAATATTACAGCTTGTCTTGCCTTGTACAGCGCCTGTTTGTGGTGTTTTGGGCAATAATAGGGTGAGGTTTGGTGGGGGCTTGGCAAAAGTGGGCGACTCGCCTGTGTGGGCGACTCGCCCGTGGAGTACGTTAGCTCTTGTAGTTGTTCATAATTAGCAGCCTATACGCTCCTACAGGCCTTGCATATATATTAAAGTAATTAAGCTAGGCAAGCGCTAGATTGTTGTTTATCTAGCCTGTTAGGCTTACTTAAATAACCTAATTACGTAGGAGGTCCTTAGTAAACTAGTTAGAGATAAGAACCTTGCTAGCAAAGATAAGGAAGGGTAGGATAACACACCCTATTGCGCTGACGCCCTGTATTAACGTAGTATACTTGCAATTACTAGGCTAAAGCTTCTTTGCTTTCCTAGGTTTCTCTATGCCTGTTATAATAAGTTATAACGTAGATTATCACCGAGCCAGCCATATCACCGAACTGGCCATTTTCTCTTAGCACAACTAACACAAGTTACTACAACTACAACTACTTGCTATTAAATAGTAACCTAGTATACTGCGTGCTTGCATTAGATTTAGAAGATATTTCTGCACCCTCCTAGCACGTTCGTGCGTTGTGTCTAGTCTTGCTGCAGTTCCTACAGCGCTAAACAGTTGACTAAGCTCCTAGTTAACTACCTCTACCCTAAGTCTTCTTAGATAGCTGAGCTGCTGCACACGCCTCAGCAGCTACCTGCGATGCTGCTGGGCCATACTCAAGTGTGCCACTATGCTGAATCTGCTTTCTCTTACGCAATTTTCTCTTAGTTATTACTGCTAATTGCTCTTCAAGCTCTTGCACGTAGGCCTTAATAAGGATGTTTTTATGCAGCATCTCTTTAGCCCCTTTTACAAGCTTTAAGAACCCCTCTTGTGCTGCACTTAGTAATTGTTAGAAGGAGTTGCTTATAAGCTTAGATTAAGACCTAAACTTGTGTGTATTACTTAGCGTCTTAGATTGCTACAGTATTTTAGGTAGAGGTACTACTAGTAGGGTATGCAGCTGCACTTTAAGGCAATCTAACACTACCTGTGTGTTAGTAGGAACAAGCCCTAATACCTTAAAGGCCTTTTAGTAGTTAACCTTTATAAACATATTAAGGAATACATCCCTAAAGGCTAGTAGGAAGCCTTCCTTATTAATATAGAAGATATATTAGTGTGCTAAGTCTTAAACATGTTAGGAGTACTTATGCTTTAATAGTAAGAAACAGACTATATTAAGTAGCTAGAGGATGTGTAATAAGTAAGGTAGTATATAGAGAGTAAGGATTTAGTTCTCTAGGTAATAGTCCTTAAACTCCTAGTTGAGATAGCTCTTATAGCTATCTAAGATAAGCAACCTATACACTCCTACCTAACATGTCTTTGTATGCGTGTTAAAGTGCTTTAACTACTTAAGGCTAAGCATGTTATTTATCTAACTATTCTTAGAGACTAAGAGCTTCTAATTGTAGGGTATATCTGTCTCCTTATACTAGGCAGAGATGTGGACGCGTCCTTTGTAGATGATGAAAGGCGGGGTTGCATACCCAGCGGCGCAGATGCTCTGGATAACGGTAACCTACTCGCGATCACCTGGCTGAACAAGCTCTGGCCAAGCACGTCTCTCTAAGCCTGTTACAACCTTTAAAGACAAAGCAACGCCTATCTAGAACCTAGTTTTATTAAAGTTGTACACGTTGTTGTTGCAAACACTATACTTAATGTTGGATGTAGGAGCACAGGGCAGATACAAATGAGGCAGAAGGTTGTTGTATTGAGGGAGCTACAGCGAGCAATTATATACACAACCAGATAAGTAAGCAGGTGACTAACACAGTCACGTGAGGTGCAGTTCACAGTGTACTATATAAACTAAGGTGCTAGGCTGACACACCCCCTAAGGATTCTATGTTAGATAGAAACCTCACAAAACAAGGAAAAATACTAAGAGAGTGAGATGCTTACGCATACTGCGCAGCTAGTTTAGCTAACTAAGGGGTAGAGGGCAAGGAGAGTCCCTGACTATTAAGTGATGAATGTCCTTCAAGCCAAGCTAGCCTATAAAGTTCTCGTGTTTCTGTCAAGGAAGCAGCTTTGTGAAGCTGTTAGCAGGCATCTTAGCAGTAGGCTTCCACTCAACAGCGATTCTTCTAGAGTCTACCTCCTGGCAAAGCCACATCTAGTGTATATCAACATGGCGAAGCTTTGTTTAGATGCGATCTGCATCACCTTGAACAAGGCGTACAGTCTGTGCATTGTCACACTAGAGAGCCTTTTTGGTATGCAGCGTGAAGCCAATATTGCGGCAGAAGCGATCCCAGTATTGTGATTTAACGCTAGCAGCTGAGAGAGCGTACAGCTTAGCCTTAGTAGTAGATTGAGTAACTAATCAAAGTACAGTAGCTTTCTAGTCAATTGGCATGCTATAGAGCATGAACACGTATCTAGCAGACAATTAACAAGTCTTAACGTTATCTCTAAATAATACATCAGCAGCACTAAAGAAGGTTAGAGTAGTTAAATTAATCTTAGTAGCATAGGTCTGTGTAGGCTTACCCCCTTAAGCACTAATAGCTAGGTACCTAGTTCTGTACAGGTACTGCCACACGTGCTTAATCTTAGAGAGGTGTATTAGTCCTAGGTTTGTAAGAAACCTTGCAAGGACAGAGTAAGTATATACTACATTAGGTTAAGTTATAACCTTAATATACGCAAGATTGCCTACAAGGCGTTAGTAGGCCTTTGTGTTTAATAGCTCTAAAAGGCTATTATAAGGCAATAGCCTTAAAGTAGAAGAGAGAGGCGTAGATAGGTATCTACTATTAGTACAGATAAGGTTGTACTTAGTGCAGACCTTATTAATAAAAGCATCCTAAACAAGGTAGAGCTAACAGCTAGCTAGGACGCGTTTAACTTAGATACTAAGGAACTATCTAACATTGCTAATCTAGCGTAGGTTGTAGAGCTTAATTAGTTGCTGTTTAAGCTGCTGAAAGTCCTCCTAATAGTCTATGTAGTACAGGATGATGATATCGTCCACATAGAAGAAGAGAATAACCCTATTATTCATCCACAGGCATAGAAAGCCCTGAACAGGGTGTAGGCCTAGCTTTCAAAGCAATTCCTGGAAGTGGATTGCCCACAGGCGAGGAGCTTCCTTAAGGCCATAGAGAGCACGTAGAAGTTGCAGTGTTTGACCATATTTGTGCTGAAATCCATCTAGAGTTCTCACATATAGAGTACGATCTAGCAGAGCGTTGAGGAAGGCGTTTGGCACATTGTATTGCATGGCCTTGAGGTTAAAGGCACAGGCAAGGGCCATAAGCGCTCGGAAAAGCTGTGCTGCTAGAGTAGCTGCGTAGGTATCGCCGTACTGCTCCTGCAGGTCCCCGCGCACTACAAGGCGAGCCTTGTATTTAAGTAGATAGCTATCCTCATCAAACTTGTAGGTAAAAACCTACATCAAAGGTACAGCGTCATTAATGTATAAGACTGTGATATCTGGTTTTGCGAAGGTGCCTTTGTTCTAGCAGTTACTAAACTTAGTATAGGCAGCAGCTGTAAACTGCTTCCCATGTGGGTGGTGCTGAAGCTCCTTCCAGTGATGTGGTGGAGGAGGAAGATTATCTTGATAAAGGCGAGTAGGATCAGGCTTAATCCTAAGTTCTAAGGCAAGAGAAGTAGCCTCACGTGATTGCTGAATGATAGTAGCAAAGGCATAGTACTTAGTTAAAGGACTAGCCTTAATAAAGTGCGCCTAGTAGCGTCTTCTACTAGTGATAATATTGTCCTGTAAGAGATCTAGATCTTGTTATTAAGGAGCGTTGTTCTAATGTTAATCTAGGACGTATAGCGCATGCGTAACTAGGTTAGGTGTAGCAGCTCTAATTGTATCTAAGTCCTCATCAGGGTTCTTATTAGAGTTCTACCCCCTAGGTATTATGTGCTGTGCAGTAGCAGAGGACTCCTGAAATAGCTATTGCTTAGCCAGATTAGGACAGTTGTGAGAATCAGGTGTACTACAAGCAGTAGTAGTAGGAGAAGGCAGTTGCTGTACTTGCTTCTGTGCAGGAGTTAGAGCAACTGCAGCCTGTCGCTGCTGCACTAGCTAAGCAACAATAATAGTCTTACTATTGTATTCCTCCTTAGGAATGTGTGTAGTCTTAACAATATAAGACCTTGTAGGTAGAGCAGACAGCTTATCCTTATAAAGCTTGTCTACAAAGCGTACGTCGCGTACGCAGATAACGCGATTTGTGGCTAGCAGCCATACTCAATAGATGTTCGAGGCGTTATAGCTGAGGAGGAATCCCTTAAAAGTGCGATCTTCAAGCTTATCTCCTCTAGCCAGGTGCTTGTTAAGCACAAATCCACAGCTTCTAATAGCGTGGAGTCAAGAGAGGTCTAGGCGGACGCTAGTGACCATCTCATGTAGTGTGCGCCAGTTAATAGATCTCATAGGCGTGATGTTGAGCAGCCTTGCTGCTGTGCAGACTAGCTCGTTGGCCAACATCTTTGGTAGACCAGCATGGATACAAAGAACCCTAGCAACAGTAACAATAATAGCACCAGCTCGCTCAGCACCCCCCAGCTGTGCAGGAGTATCAGGAGACCTTGTCTTGACCTTGATGCCAGCTGATAAGAGGATCTCTTGAGCAGAAGAGCCTAAACTGGCCTCAGCTCGTCCATATCCTACGTCTCCGTCCATGAAGACTATAGCTACTTGGTAGCCATATACACGCTTAATCTTGTTAATAAGACGTGTGATTGCAGGAACGACAGTAGCCTTGTGTTGATCCTTGAGAGTACAGATCTCATGTAGTTTCGTGTACTTACATACTGCATGTAGTGCCCATACATCACTGTTGTAGCAGGCCTTGCCATGCTTTTAGAGCTGAATAATGTCTACAATAATGCAGTAGAAAGGGCAGTAAGCCTTGTTAGCTTAAGGACGTTAACTAACGTCTTCCTTTATCTTGCCCTTGATGCAAGGGATGCAAGAATCTGTCTATTGTTCTCCTTTTCTGTTGGTGCCTAATGTGAGGCCAGTTGTGGAGTTTTTAAGATGCTTGATAGCCTGATGGCTTGGATGGCCGAGCAGCTAATAAGCTTTTATCGCAGTGACAACTTGAGGTGATTTTGCTTAAGTAGAAGCAGCTGCCATAGCCTGAAAAGGCTGTTTAGCGTCTTAAGCTTTTAAGAACTAGTAACCTCTAATTTAATTAAGGTCTATAAAGAGAGATAGTAACTTATCCTCTCTAAAGAGCGTGTTTGTTATTAAATTAAAGTAGATCTTCTTACAGCAGCTTAGGCTGAAGATATTAGCTATATATCCTAGGATATATGCTACTTTCTTAAGTGTAATTAAGGCTGTCTAATTGCCCCTTTTTATATTAAGAGTTACCTCTCCCTAGGCTTGTATCTAATACAAGTTACAGCCTGCTTATACAGTGTCTTAAGAGGAAGGAAGCTTTGTCTGCTTCTAATTAGATCCTGCCTTGTTACAGATATAAATGTCTGATCCAGGGTCCATGACCCATTGGTGCTGCAGCGATTGAGCGTGCAGCGATAGTGCAGTATTGGACTGCAGCAGCTGCAAGGGCTGCTTGAGACAGGCTGTATTGGACGCGTATCCATCGGAGCTACAGTCTGAAGCAGTATCGGCCTGATGAGCATGACGTGATGCGGAGTTTTTT